AAGTCGAACATTATATATATATATATATATATATATATATATATATATATATATATATAAAATATATATATATTTATATTTATACTTGACTAGCTTTATCAGATTCGTTTGCATACAGGAAATTTTCGATAATATCTGATTTCATTATTCATATGAGACAAGTAAAGAAGAAGAAAAAATCAGACGAATGAGAAACACACAAAGAGAACAGTACTAGGAGGCTATTTTAAAGCTCGCGCATATAACATCGGCATTTGTAGTAAATTGCACGAAGCCTACGTATACATACACCTAAGCTAATCAGTCGTACTCATCTCTCGTGTAATGTTAGAAGTTTTAATTTTATATGTAAAAAAGAAAAAAAAAGAAAAGAAAAACTAATTCTGAAATATTTAATAGTCATGGTTAGCAGAGTTATATAAATAATGCCTGTGATAATAGTATCGTCAGGATAAGTTGTGTCCTTAAAGAGTCTCTGATGTTGTTGCTAGGTAAATATATTGATTAGAAGTGTATCAATGTGAGATTACCATTGGTGCCGTCTGAAAGGTGTGTCTCACAAGCACAATAACACCTAAATGCAGGGAGCCATCAATCGTCTCTCCGATGATACACATTAAATATAAAATGGAAAAAAAAAAGATATTCAAAATAAAAGAAAGAACACATGTTGCAAAAATTTTTGCCAGTCATATTAAAAACTCATAGCGTGTAACGAATGGATGACCATTAACGAGAGGGTCTTTTACCTCACAAAATTATTATATTACGCTCACACCTTATATATACTTGAATATTTTAGTATAGATTTACTCTATTTACATATTTTTATCTGTGGAAGACTACTTGGCTAATTTAGGCCACTGTTGAAATTCACCCCTTATTTGCCTTGATGTTTAAATTACAACAATAATATAAAGAAAAAAGAATAATAAAGAACGAGAATTACTTGTTACGTAAATGGTAATTGTGATAGATTTTTTGATGATTTTTACAATCTCAAAAGTCTTATTATATCCTAATATGTATAGAATTATATAGTCACTCTGTACGTAATAGATAAACTTTGCTTACATTGTTAAACTAATATTTAAAAACAGAAGCTCTCATATAACTATATCCACACTAAACAGTTTTACAACTGATGGTGTAATTGAAGAAAAGATCGTATTTTGGATATATGCAATAGGTTTCCGCGTATTACTTTAGCAGTACTGTTTTTATTGCTATACAAAACTTCCAAGGCCTTTTAGGTGCCACAGAGATTCTCTCCGATATAATTTCAAACAGAATTATTTGATTTTACGTACGACCGGATTTTTCTTTTTTTATGCGCTGTATTCGTGCTGTGGAATTTCACATTTACGGTACCGTTTCCTTTTATAATTGTAGTAGTTATCATTTCTTTTATTCATAATTCAAAGTTGGCGCAAATAATATGTTATATTTGTTCCCAATTTCAAATTTGTTTTTAACATGCCGTTTTACAAACACTATTTTACAACACACAAGGAAGACAATTCGAGCGCTTCGAGCTGCTCTACTCCAATCTAAAGATAAAATTTGAAATTGTGCAAGACAGAATACTTATCAATCATAAAATATGTCGTGTGTTCGAAGAAGAAAGAAAAATTGTTGCTATATATCATACACACACATACACAGACACGAATATGTTCCTGATTTCGAAAAGAAAAAAAATCGCATATATTATACAATAAGAATTACTGCTCTGTGCAGGTTCATAATGACATCTACAATTATATAAATGATAGGACTAAAATGACACGACATAAACTGAATTCTAGCCTACGGTTAATCATAGTCTTCCTAGAATCCTAAAAAAAAAAAGAGTTATGACTTTGCTATATTGATTAGGGCATGGCCAATTAACATTATATAGCTGGTTATAAATGAAGAGAGAAGCGTAACAAAAAGAGGATTATCGTACACTAAATTAACAGCAAATGATTACATTTTATTACACATGGCTTATACATTAAAGGTCCGTGATCATTTTTCTTTTTTTCATATCTTCAGCATAATTTAAGTTATATATATTTATACATATTTATAAGTTATATATTGAAAGAAAAAGAAAGAGAGGAAAGGAAAGTCTATGATCAAAAAGAGAAAAAGGAAAAAAACGTAAAAAGAAAAAGTTGTAATTTATTATGTGGTAAGCGTTCTGCATTATTTTTGTAACAATATTTTTATTCCTTACTCACGCGCTCATATACACCGTCTTATATATCACTAATTTTAACTTTATGCAAGCATTATGTGTTCGATTGGCTGTTTTCGACGCTATTATAGCGTACTCTTATCCGGATACATTAGAAATAATTCCTTCGGCAGATATATTGCCAGAGGTTTACGGTTGAGCTTTGCTCCATTTTGATCTATCACATTTTTATTTATGCGATATTTAACAAAAAAAAACACGGAACTGCTTCCATATAAATGTGTATTTATATTATTTATATATTGTTTTGTTTAATTGGTTTTATAAATTTCTTGATATAGTTGTATCTCTCTCTTATTTGAGAGAAGATAAGAAAAAGAACGTTATCGCGATCGGTTTCTATTGCACAACAATTTATTTGCATTTTAGTTGTGTTCTTTTTCACGTTTATTTCGTTTTTGCTTTAATTTTTTAATTGTTGTCATATTCTCTTTTTTTTCTTTGTTTGAAATACTCAATTTGAGGTGGCATGACAACGAATTGTATTATAGTTTGTCGTACTACTTCATTGAAAGGAGCAGAAGAGAGCGATTATAGTTCGTATAGATATAATGAGTATTCATGTTAATTGTAACTTTACGATTTAACTGCATTCCAAAAATCAATCATTTTATCCTTCACACACATTTTATGAGATAGAGAAATTAAATTCTTTAGTGCCAAAACAGACTAATCAGAGTATTTATATAACATGTATATTGCTTACGACTTGTTTTTATTCCTTATGAGTTTATTTTATTCGTCTCTTTTGAGTTTTTTTTTTTTTTTCGCGTCGTGTCGGGATATCGAAGTTTTTAGAGTAAGAAGACAAAAATTATAAGATTAAATCCTTGCTTAGTCAGTTAAAGTACAAATATTTAATATATTCTATCTTTAGACGATAAGTGTAACGCGAAAGGCGTGTTAAAAGGCGTATATACTGTTACTTGGTTTCATTCCTCAAACAGCACTAGCTTTATTTATTTGCATTAGTTTACACAATGTAATACTTAACAGGCTGAGAAATGAGGGTAAAAGAGAAATGCTTTCGCCATTGCCCTGTATATACATACACACGACACACATACGCGTGTAATATTTATTTTAAATATTACAACACATGTTCCTTTTGGAAGTACTTTGTTTACATATCAAATTGACCACTAAACACGCGTTACATACAGTTGCATTCCAACTTGGTATGCTAAAAGGTGTCGACGTTTCAAGTAGCATACCCACGAATATATCCCTGATCTCTCCCACGTTTCCATTTTATTTTTTAAGTAGCAATTGCAAGGCTGAACGAGAACAACTTTTTACGGTAAAGCGATTACATTTATTTATCGTATTCGGTATTATCGGTTTCGTAAAAGGCTTTTTTTGTTAGCAACAGATTGACTTGTCATAAGCGCGAAAAATAAGCATCTGTTGTTTTAATATCAAGAACAATCGCTTTACCGAAAGTTTAGCCTGGCTCCGATACATTTATCTATGCAAAATTAGTTTAGTATTAGTTTCTCTCGGATTTATATTTAACACACATGAATAACATGTATTCGGAATGAACTTTTCAATTATTTAACTTGTGTTATATGCATTATGTCTGTAATAGAACTGTCTTGTGTGCGAAAACTGATTATGGATTACGCTGTGTAAACCATGTTTTCCTGAAACCTCCATTGGTATTTTCCATAAGAAACGAACTATATCTCTGAAAAAGGAAAAGATTTTAAATGTTCCGACATCACACTTCTACTTCAAAATGTAAACTGTATAAGAATAGTACAACTGATGATGAGAAAAAGGTAAATTGTAATGCAATATGGAAAGCGTGTATACCGATATATTTTTTATATGCTAATGAGATGCCAAGGAGCATGGTCACCTTGTAATGTATTATTTAGAGCTATACACGTCCAGATCGCGCGACTGTGTACACACAAATCAGTTTCCTCGAAAACTATTACTCAGCCTTTGTATTAAGCACCTTCTCCCTCCCCTGTTATCGGACTATTTGAATTTCAAAGTATTTCAATATGTATCTATCTCTTAGTTTACGAATTTTTAATCTTCCAAAGTTTGTCAAGGCTAGTCCCCGAGATATCTGTAACAGATCTACAACTCTCTTTTTTTCCCTCCTTTTATCTTTCTTTTTATTTATCGCATATCAGAGCTTTTTTTCTATATATCTTGTATCTATCTACAAAATTTTAAGTTTCATTTTTATATAAAATATATTCAAATTTAATGGTATTATACGTATACACATCTATATACACTTTTACAAAAAAAAAAGGAAAAAAAAATATTTTAATCTACATACCGTATTACATAATTAAAGATATGGGACATTTGCTACTTATATATATTTGTCAAATGTATTGTATTGAAAATATTTTATTATAGGATGGACACAGAATTTAGCCTTAAAAAAAGATAAATGCTCTCCGTTGATCGTACATTGCTTCATCATATCAACTCAATTTGCCATTGCCTGTCAATTCATATGTACTATCCTATACTAAGATATTCTCAAATGATATATCACTATATGCAGTTATTTGAAACGTGTAGAGATATACATTCTTGTCTGCGCATAGGCTGCAATGCAATAATAATATATTGTGATGCTCACAAAGCACATAACACATTTTACCAAAATTGTAATGTTTAAATATTTCATGTGATTTTGGAGAAACTGTTATATATTTTTTATTTCCTGTCAATTGTTTAATTTGTAATGTTGTTCTTTGTTCTTTTTCAATAAAGTAATCAACTGAATGCCGAATTCTTTTTATTGACAGCGATCTCCTGGAACGCGATTTAATTTATGCGAAACGACTTGTGAATTTTCAACTCGATTTTTTTTCACGCCATATTTTTATCATCGCGTTTTTATGTTTACGGGTATATTTTATGTAATTCTACATCATTTAGACAATCGTTAGTAATATTTATTTAACAAAATGACGATTTTGTACAGGCCTACACACACATATGACAGAGACAAATTATCCACTTTAGACATCTTTATTCGAAAGGATATCGATATATCTACATACAGATCATGTCCTGTATTTTGGAAATATATTTATTCAGAGTCGGAATCCTTCCTGCCGTACTGCTGTCTTGATAATTCGCTCTGTAATTCGAGAACGTGTTCTATGGGTTTCGGTTTCCCATCGTCGCCGATGCGGCAAGGACGCACGATTCCCTCCCTAAGCAACATTGTTTCAAAATATTTTTTTATACATGGAAAGATATATGACCACACATTGTAGCGTTTACAACTGATAATATATTACGGATTTATGTATATACATAGAAAAATAGTAATATTACAAATGCGTAAAAATGACGGCTTTAGGATTAGACGACTGATATGATTGTATATCTCGCGCATATCTTTTTGATTTGTGACGAATAAATAAAGTCTCAATCAATATGCACAACTCACCTCGTTAATTTATCAACAAGATTTACTAGTTGTAAGGCTTCATATTCCTTTTGCGCATCCGTCATACCTTCAAGCGGATTTGATTTGGGATTTTCGAAACATCCGGTTACTGGATTTATTCTTAACATGAAAACCATAATTTATTTATAAAATATACAAGACAGAATTTCATCTCTGAAATAAATCTCATACTTACTGCTCTTTAAACTTTAGATATTCTTCCGTTTCGCTATCTTCCGATTCCGAAGAATAATTCGTTTCCGCCTGGGTAGGCGGAAACGAATTATTAGGCCCTAACAATCCTTTCTTGGCGAACATACCCGCCGCATTTCCGTATCCTGTATATTTCACCATACGGCTAACTGTAGATAATATTTACTATATATTAACTGCGCTATTAATTCTGGAAAGTGTGCTGTAAAAGTTGTGTGAGACACGTTTTAATACAACAGATAAATACCATTCTCTTTACAAAGGATAAATAAAAGTTCTGCAACTAGGTCACGCAATTCCGTGAGAGGCGAAGTTAGTAATTTGCATAACTTGGCCCTTAACGTCGTCCCTTCTTCAGGACGATTCATCACATCCTTTAATGGAGGTAAAATCTGAAACATTTATATTTTATATTTGTAAATTATTTCTACTATATTTAGAATATATTTGGGGCAATTTTAAATTTATATTAATTCTATATTACAATTATTAATTATATAAGATATACGATCAAAATTGTTAAGAAAAATTTATTATTTCTGATGGTAATTTTCTTCTCTGAAAACAAAAGCTTTTTACCCAAATTTTTTTTTTTATTATTCTTTTTCCAAGTAAGTTATTCATGAGAAAATTTCATTACTATAAAAATGATTTATATCTCAATGCTAATTCGATTATGAAATTTTACCTGTAATCTCACATATTTGCGGATAATCTTTTCCGATTTGACAAGTCTGATCAGTGCGGTAACTACTGGAGAGATATTTTCTATCAAATTTATCTTACAGTCTAATCTTTGATCTAAAAATTTAAGTAGAACGCGTATAGCGCTCATATCCATATTTTGATATACACTTTCGCAATCGTCGTTCTCAACAGGTCGTACAATTGGTGTATAGCAGCTAGATGGTATTACAGTCAATAAATTGATGACATTGCTAAAATAGAATAGTAAAAATGTATCAAAATAGATATAATTTTTCTACACATGATAACTATTATATTTATCACAAATATATTTACCTTTCTAGATCATCTTGTTGTAGTGAGTATTTAAAAACTAATAATTTATACAAATTTAACACCAAATTTCTGTATTTCTCTTGATCTTCGACTCCAGTATCATCAGAGTGTATGTACAAATTAAATAGAACCTTCAAAACTTCAAAAACTACCATTATTTCCTCATTCTGAAAATAATAAAAAGATTTAATGTCATTTTTAAATACAAATATATATAAACGTTACTGACATAATGTAATAAATCTCTTTACCTTAATTACAGTTGTCCTATTATCACGATTTTGTGTCACAAATTCCTCTATTATTTTAATGAGATATATATCACCACATAAATCAATTTTTACTATTTCCCTTGTAGATATATTTAAAGCAGTAACGAGAAATAATATTCTCATATCAAATAATTTGATATTGTGAGGAACATTATTTGAATAATTTTTAATTCGATCAATAAGATAAGGCAAAGAAGATACTAATACTTTAGATTGTTGCACTTTTACACTGTTAAATAACAAGTTGCACAACAACTTTAGTGATTCTATTGTATCTGCAATTGAAAGTATTTCAATTTTTTATAATAATACATATATTGATAAATGTAGAAGACATATAGAATACATATAGAATTTATTCTATAAAATTTATACCTTATCTTTCAAATTAAATTATTAATCTAAAAATACATTGTTTTTATTTATCCACTTTATATAAGAAAATTATTTTCTAATCGTTTTTACCAGCTGTATATGAGATTTGTTCTTCTTCGCATATTTTTGTCAAGATTGCATTTTGCAATATAATTTTTATTGCCTCATCGGTAATTAATTCATTCAAATTGGTTTTATCTCGACTAAAACATGAAAATGTATAAAAATTATAGCAAGTGTACAGAAATATTGCCTCCGCTTATAAATTTAAAACATTTTTTTTTTTAAATAATGGATTAGATATATATAATATCTTTCTGTATGACATTTATATTTCTTAAATCTACGAAATAATAGATACATAAATTCTTTATGTATATTAAATATAAAGTTAATCAGAAAAAATAATTGTAACAATTGTTAGGCTGAATATAACACTGCAATTATATATAATATTCAATGACAGAATAATAAATTATTATAATCTATTTATTGTATTGTATTATTATATTGTAATATAATTTATTGATGAATTATTTCTTAAAGAGATTTTACGATAATTATTAGTCACTGTGTGGTTTCTCAGTAATGGTCTATTATAAATATTTTGCACTATTCCATGAGATATATATGTATAACATAATCAAATTACCTGAGTATTCTCAAAGCAGCTAAGTAATGATGATGATGGTCTAGATGAGTGTAATCTGTTAAATAATAAAACAATCTCTTCCATAGCTTCTCTCGTAAACAGTTATTATTCAACTCTTCAAAATTAGTCTTCTTATCATACTAAAACATAAGTTGCAAAACATGAATAATTTATCGTTTATACTATTTTTAAAAGAATGAAAAAGAACGAAAAATATCTTTTTGGGTGTTAGTACATAGAATAGAACAATTAAAATAAAGGAAATCAATTTTTGAATGATTATTTTATGATATAAATTGTTTAAATTTTATCACACAAATTGATGTAAAGTTTTCAATATAAATTTATAAGAAAAATATATTTATTTCTCTCAATAATGTATCACACATATACTCACAATTTTTAGAAACACAACAATACTGTCAGAAAATTCCTCGTATGTGCCAGAAATTAATTTCGAGATCAACTCGTCCGTGTTAACCTTTTCCATATTCGTTTTTTTTAATAATAGGCACTTTTGAATCGCATTATATATTTTATTTCATAATAAATCCGAGTTAGATAAAAGTTTGACAGGTGAATTTTCGTGCACAGGAAATACTTCTTCTTTTTCGTGTAAGGATTGGCTCCGACAAGTCACACGGCCGCACAGGAAATACATTTAGCGAGAAATATTTTCGACAGTTCACATCGATTGTATTCGCCATCTGTCAACTTATCGACTTATCAACTTATAATTTTCAGCACCGATCGATAATGCGTCGATGCATTTGACTTTCTACATTATCTTCTGCAGCTTTTTAAAATTAAAAAAGAAGCTCAAATCTCTCTATAAATGCATATACTCCAAGGTCCAAATGACAGTTCGTGTGGTGTTAGATTGCAATCTGTCATTTTGACAAAAGTGATGAGAGTAGCAGCAATCTTGCCTATTAGTTTTAGTTATCGGACAAGCGATATATACTTAGAGTAAATAACTTTTTTAAACCATTTGTGGAAATTAAATAATGTATTTATCGCGCATATGTTAATCATTGTAGCCTAAATAAAATATAATTATTTAATATCGTACGTGTACAACTTTTTTTCAAAGACTACAAAGATGGAGCAGATAAAGATTCCTAAGGTATTAAGCTCGATTTATAATCTTATTTTAATGTTAATAATACTCATTTTAATGCTTTGCGTAATTATGTCAATAACGAATTAATGGCTTTATTAATAAGGATAGGTGAATGTTAGGATCACACATATAATTTTTATATTTATTAACATTTCTTATTATAATTAAATTATACCAAAAATGTGGTAGCAATTTAAAAAAATTTCCCTATTTTTATATTTATATACATAGTATAAGTTTTCCAGGAAACAATACGTTTGCAGGTAGAAAATGTGAGAATGTTGGACAAATATAGCAATAATCATTCCATCGGTTCTCTTTACTTAACAGTGACACATCTCATTTTTGTTGAAAGAAGTGGCAAAAAGAAAATATGGGTAAATTATATCAGGCTCATAAAAAATTATATCTATTGATCGCTTTGTACAACAAAAGTAATGGTTTTCTTTACATAATGTTATAATTGCAGGTGTTATATACGCACATCTCTAATATAGAGAAACAGCCATTGACAACCACAGGATCGCCATTATACATTAGGTGCAAACATTTCTTCATTATCACGTTTGTTATTCCAAAAGAACGTGATTGTCATGAGATTTATCTCACATTATTAAAATTATCGTGCCCAGGTAACAAATGTTTATATCTCAGTTTTCCTTATTGGTATCTTCTAAGAATCTTTTAATTAACATTAATTAACATTAAATTTTAATGTTAAACTATATTATTTGTTATATGATATAGAACGTATTTTCTAAAAGGCAGTTATATATATATTGGTATGATAATTTATCTTTTCTTTTTCATATTAGCTAGTTTAGAAGATTTGTATTGCTTTAATTATCAAGAGAGTGAAGATACACTACCTCAACATGCAGGATGGAATTTCTTCAATGTGCAGAGTGAATTTCAACGGCAGGGTGTACCAAATGAAGAATGGTCACTTTCATATTTAAATACTAATTATGAGGTATATATCCTCCTCTATTTCTATTCTCAACACGCGTTTTCTATTCTCAATACTGTTAAATCATGTCAATTCTTTCAGCTTTGCGATACTTATCCAAGGTACTTATATGTTCCTAGTACATGTACTAACAATATTTTATTGGGTAGTGCAAAGTTTAGAAGCAGAGGAAGACTACCAGTTTTAACATATTTACATTCAAATAAGGTAAAAAAGGATAAACTGGATATAGCATTTGAGAATGAAATCATTTCAAATAAAATAATATTTTTTTAGGCTGCCATCTGTCGCTGCAGTCAACCACTCTCGGGATTCAGCGCAAGATGTCCCGAAGATGAGCAAATGATGTACAATATATTATGTACAAATCCTAATTCGAGATATATGTATGTTGTGGATACAAGGCCGCGGGTGAGTATTCAATTAAAATATAATTTTCTGTTGTAAAATTGGAGATATTAAATCTTACATTGTACTTCTATATATTTTATATTATCTTTTTCTATTCTTTAACAACAATTTTGACCATTTCTGACATTTTTTTACTTTTTGATTATTTGTATTTCCGGTTTTTTACTTGCTGACTACTAATTTTAAGACTTTTTTGACCGTATTTTACCGTTTATTTTTTATCATTGAGGAGAGTCCAGTCGTGGACAGAAACGTTTGAATTTTATTGGAGTTTTTTATATTGATTCGCGTTTTTATATATTTGTGATTGCGCTTTATCCGTTATTTTAATTAAGACCTGCGCCTTTTATTTTTTGTTTATAAGTTTATCTATTTGATGTTTTGCGTGCTCCTTAAGCCTATTTGTGCATTTGTTTTGATTTCATAGGAGCTTTGTCATTATTTTGAATTATTATTTTCATAGAAAATGTAAGAGATATCTTTGAAACTTAAAACATAATTTGTATTTTTTGTTGGATTAGATTAACGCCTTTGCTAATAGAGCTGCGGGAAAAGGATACGAAAATGAAAATTTCTACGACAATATCAAGTTTCATTTTTTCGGAATAGAAAACATTCATGTGATGAGGACAAGCTTAAATAAACTTTTGGATTGTAAGTGTAAAACTTTCCTGAAAATTACTTATATTGAAGAAATATTACAGTTTCATGTTATTATTAAACCTCTATTTAACTTCTTTATTTAAAAATAGTGCAAAGGTCAACCTCCATGAATGCGTTTTTAAGCGGTCTAGAAAGCAGCGGCTGGTTAAAGCATATTCGTTCCATTTTGGAAACCGCTTGGTTTATTGCACGGGCAATTGCGAACGGTGTGAGCGTAGTGGTTCATTGTAGCGACGGATGGGATCGCACCGCGCAAGTGTGCTCTCTGGCTGCGTTATTATTGGATCCATTTTACAGAACTATCCAAGGTTTTCAAGTAAGTAAACCTGAAACTTATTTCTTAAAATCATTATAGATATAATAATGAATATTATTATACAATAAATACATAAGATAATAATATGATGTTGTTCAAGTTTGTATCTCTTTTTCTCTACATATTGTTTAAGTTTCTATCTTTTTTCTCTATACATTCAATTATCTATTTAAATTTATATATTTTACTCTTTATACATAAATATGGTTTTATTTAAGAAATTTACTTTTTAAGGCTTTAATAGAAAAGGATTGGCTGTCGTTTGGTCATAAATTTAGCGATCGTTGCGGCTACATTAGCAGCGACGGTAAAGAACTTGCGCCGATATTTACGCAGTTTATAGATGCGACGTATCAATTGTTGCAACAGTATCCATACAAATTTCAATTCAATGAATATTTTCTTTTAACATTACACGATCATGTACATAGCTGTCAACATGGCACATTCATCGGAAATTCGGAGAAGGAACGACAAATGCTGAGGTATTCTTTCTCATTCGCATATTCTATATTATTTCCTATGATATGTGATATAAATGAAAAAAAATTTTGATAAAAATTATGAATTATTATTTCAGATTATCCGAGCGAACGTATTCATTGTGGGGTTACTTAGCTAATAATACAAATGAGTATATAAATCCAATCTATAGATGCAATCGTTATAATAATGAGGACTCTGTTGATGTTCTTCAACCTAAATTGGCACCTCAATCTATTGTGTAATAAATATATTACTCTTGTACAAAACTGAAATTTAGATATATAAGCTTATGATGCATGAATGTAACTCGAGTTACTTTTCAGTCTTTGGAGAGGTTTGTACTTCAGATTTGAGAATGGAATACATCCTAGAGAAACGTGCGAAGATCTACTTCTGACAATCCATGATCACACAAGCTCATTAGAGGATCATGTAAAGCTTCTGCTAAAAGTATATATCACAATTTTAACAGAGAACATATATAAAAATAATATTTTAAACTGTAATTTAAGAAAAATGGATCAAATGTTTGTTAATTTATACTTTACTTCAACATATCACAATTTTAACAGAGAACATATATAAAAATAATATTTTAAACTGTAATTTAAGAAAAATGGATCAAATGTTAATTTATACTTTACTTCAATAGCGAGTCAATTCTTTGGGACAATTCTTAAATACAAATAATTCTCAGAAGAAAGGAAAACATAAATTTGATAATAAATTTATGAAGGAGACTTTATCGGAGACTATAATAGAGAACCACGATGAAAAAATGAAAGCTAAATTAAAAGTGAGTCAATTGGAGAATGAATTGAAAACTGTTGCTTTGGAATGGAAATCGTCGCGAAATATAGAAGAATGCGGATGTTCCACCACATTCGATGCCTTTAACAAAAAGGTATATTTGGCAAAGTTGACCCGGACTATAATTTATAACTTAAATCATTCGTTCTTTGTATTTGCGATGATTTTATTTTAGCATCATTGTTGGTCCTGCGGCGACGTATTATGCACAAGATGCATGGCAGTACACACGAAACTACCCGGACATCTATCACAGCGCGCCGTACCTACGTGTAAAACATGCTATCAGAGTTCCGGAATATCCGCCACTAGTCCATAAACTTGATACTTGGTACATAAACTTTTAATGCCGACATATACTTATATAATCCATATTTATATGTATATGTCTCCCAAGCGAAATAATGAAGAAGCCTAGCATATATTATCAAACAGTATGTTGTATGATTTCAATTTCATATGGCTTTTCTATTTCTTTGAATTTTATTTTCTTCAATTTGGTCAATTAATACAAACAACGTAGTACCTGATTAGAGTAATATATACCATATAGACTTATTCTTAACTTAAATGATTCGATAACACATTAAAGTTCGTGAATATTACACCAAATAATTGTAACAATAACGGCAAATTAGTGACGATCAACTATTATAGTACAGTGAGTGATAAATTGATTGCATTTTTCAAGTTACGTATTTTTTTTAATATTAGAAAAAATAGTATATATATATAGTTATTAAAAATTATAAAAACAAAAATTAATTTCCATTGGATAATCTGCCTGCATCGCAGCTAGATTTGATTCTGCTATAATAATCGAAGGATACAATGATTATTGAATTATGAAAAAATCATTTTACGACATCAGTAGCAGGATTCTCTAATGTCTTAGCGACGATTATATCGTTGTCGTTAGCGAGCGATAGTCTATGAGAGTTGCGCTTTTCATCAGGGAATCGACTATATATCTTTAAAACAAAGTGAAGATTACAAAGTGAACAGATTTACTAGATTTTGACAAATAAAATCGTAGATACTCTAGTGAATTTACTCACTTTTGTAATTTTTACATTGTTTTAAGATACATACTCAACCCCCTGGATTGTTCTTGTCTCATTGATTGTCGCTAGTTAACGATATCGAAAACTGTCGAGAGCAAATTACTGCCTGCTACAGATATGTAAATTAACATTACAATGTAAATTAACATCTTTTACGTTCACATTTTAGGTTCATTAGCTTCTTCTCTATCTTTTACTATAATTTATCCCATTGTGACATTAAACATACAAACTGAATAAGATGAATCTGTTTTCAATCTTTAGTTCTAAAACACATTTCATGATCATAAGCAAGAATACATAAATACAATATATTATTAAGGCAGTGTCCAGATTAACGGGACAGCACTCTTGCAAATTTATGATATATATGCATCATACATCACTCATTACACGAAAGCATAGGTAATCTGAGAATGATTTGTTCGAATATATCAATGAAAACTTTTGCATATATATATATATATATACATGAAGTCAAATGTCGATATCCTTAGACAAGGAATTAAATACTTATCGATCACATCATTGCAATGACTGAACTTGCTAGAGTGACTGGTAACCACCTACTATCCACAGTAGCAAATGTGATGTGGAATGTGACAGTATTACATAAATATCAGCAAAGATCGCGTGCACACGCGATAATAATTTCTTTTTATAATTTTTCCTTTTTCTATTCTTTATTTGGTTTTCTTCGTCGTGGTCCTTCACCACTGATTGGTGATGTATCCTGCAACAATTATATGCGTTTTCATGGCTAAAGATTGCAACAATGAAAAAAGAAAAAGGGAATGCATTGTGTATATTACAAAAGTTTAAAATTATGATAATTAAGATTGCAATTTTTCTTATAGAATACTTCAAGATTTCATTACTGACCTTATCACTTTCAATTACTTCCTCTGTTCCAGTCTCTTTCTCTGTATCTTCAGTTTCTTCTGTAGCAGGTTTTTGCTCAGCTAGTTCAGGATTCAAAGATTGATTTTCACTTTCTGCATCTTCCGCGATATCATTGCTTATTCCTAAAGGTGCTTTTTCTTCTTCTTCTTCTTCCTTGAAATCTGATTTATCCTGATATATTTGAAACAATATAAATTACATTTAAATTACTTTTAAAAATATTTCTCTCATTCATATAATAATATTAACAATGAGTAAATAACTCTATATGATAATGATTTTTAATATAATCTACAAAGCAATCAACAAAAAAATATAGCAAAAAAACAAAATATTCACTTTATAATTCCTAAATATTTATGCTACTATGCTTATTTTATATTGAGCACATTGTACCTCTGAATAGCAGCAAAAGTATATTATCAATACTACAGGTACCGCAGCTAGCAATATATATACTGCCCATATCCATGGATGGTCCGCAGTAAATGTCGCGATTCGATTCCATATAGTCCACTGTATCAGATAATCGTAAAATGCTACACATTATGTACACATGAAAGCCTATTATATACGCAGAAAGTATATGTAAATTCTATCATAGCATTAGCAAAGCTTATTGCTAATCTTTAAATGATAACATGATTCCTTTATTACTCAAGGCAGGTGAGGATTGTATATATATGTACATACATATAATTCCTTGATTTTTTACTCTATGTGATTATGTAACTTATTAAAAATTCTAATGTAAAATAAATGCTATATACAAATGTACAATTTATAACATATGCATTATTGCAGAACTAGTGTGTATAGGATGTTACATTTTATCAAACAAATACTTTTAATGTCTACACGCGAATATTGTACCTCGCGAATTTGTTTGTACAAATACCAGATGTAAGCTACAACTGGTATTATACAATATAAAAAGTACAGTGCCCACCAGCCTGGCTTATAATTCATTGCTTTCATCATTCGACCCCATAAAGAATCCTGCATGTTACAATCCATACTAATGTAGAATTAATTTTATCAATCTTCAAATGTATTAAACGTTATATTCAATAAGCTAATTATTAAGTTTCTATATACTTACACGATATTTTCTTTTGCATATCTTTTCTAATATGCACGTTTATATTGTAAAACTATATTGTTATAATGGCGGAATGTTATCTAAGCTATAGATAAAAATATACTTACACTTTCCTCAGCAATTTTAACACGTCGAATTTCAAAGCTATCATCTGCCCATTTCTTTGCAACTTCCTCATCATCTGTTATAATTATATTGTCAAAATATATATCGGGTGACATTGACCACAGCTCAAAACCAACAGCACTCTAAAACACATTTTTACAAGTTAAATATTTCATAATTGTTAATATAATATTAGCACAGTTGAAAAACATTCTGTTATTCACATACAATTGGTAACATTTTGAAGGGATGTTCATCGTTAAAGTATTCAGGATTGTGTATAAGTTTAGGCTTCCATTTTCCCTTGTAATTAGGGTTGTTAATAAGTGGTGCCAGCCATTTTCCTTTATATCGCGGATTTTTCTTCATTCTTTGCTTATAGGGACCGCAACCAGGGGCGTCCGCGCATTTTGGGTTCGATATTTCCGGAGCTTCCCATTCGCCATCCATCTCGACGTCCCAATCATCGGGCTTAACCGAATCCGGATTCGGTATCATTGGCGGTTCGTCCTCGAGCCATCCTTCGGGCATAATGTCTTCTTCATCGACTATTTGTGCTGGAGCATCTTCGTCCCAATCGTCAGGTTTCTCCGCCAATGGATCGGGAATCTTTTCTCTATCATCCCAATCCTCGGGCTGTTTATCGTCGGGGTCCTCTATCTCCAAAGGCGGATTCACAGGAGGCACAAAATCATCTAATAATGAACCCGAATTTAAGATTTTATTATCCACTTTAATCTCATAAATATTATCAGGCCGTATGATCAAAGTATATAGATGTGGCTGTTTATCTTTGAAATAATCTTCCAGTCGATCCTTTGATTTCTTACAATGTTTCTCTGTGATTGTACCGTTCAATGGATTTTTATGTCGAAATATAAAATGGAGCTAGAGATAAAAAATAAATATAATTTTTAGATAGATACATATAAATATTTGGCTTGTTTTCTCTCAGGTGTTAACTGATATTTAATTTATTCCTCATTTCTTCTCACAAACTGACTCAGAAACAAAAAAGTTAAATCTCAATTACTTTTAGTTAATATTTATGAAAACAGATCTATACATAATACATACATATTCTATATGATATATATAAGAAATTGTAAGACAAATATACCCATTAATACCTTATGATCGTTGCCACATTTATCAGGCCCGAACATTATAGTATATGGTGTTTTATCGTGGAATTGTTTCAAGTCTTTATGCTTATCGTCTAATGTGAGCAACTTAAGATAGGCGCCACCACATTCCTGTCCCTCTTGAAAATTAACTTCATACTGTACAATTAGGGGTTTGTCTTCAAAGTAAAATGGCTTAGTTAATAAAGTAGAAACGGCAGCATGTCTAGCTTTGCTCTTAAGCACTAATCCTAGATCTCCATTCTCTGCGTGTTTCTTAAGTTCTTCAACGGACCAAATTCCTAATATGAATAACAAAAAGTTAAATAAATAAAAATATTAAGAAAATTAATTTTATACTCTTTGCTGATTAAAATCTATATTGAATAAATCGTGAAATGTAAGAAAATTCTCTATTAACCATCATATTTGGCAATATCTTCGTCGATATCGTCCTTCTTCGCTTCCGATAACAGCCATGATTTTCTAAATCTCTCTTCGCTATCAAAGTTCTCCGCTAAGTAAGCAAAGCCGGAAGGTTCTGGACTTTTGTAAGACGGTTTCTGTATTTCAGCATTGACACTGCTGTCATGATTCTCATCTGCATTTAATATATTACAATATGCACTAAGATAAACTAATACGACACACGCTACGATTCTTGCCATTTCATATTCCTAAAATAAAGAAAAAAAACGTGTTCAACCTTTTCGTCCAATTCACTAATTTATTTAATCATTAAATTCATTATTAAATTCATTTAATCAAAGGTATTACAAAATATATCTAAGTAAAAAAAAATTCACAAGATTAAAAAAAATAATGCATTCATCTTAAAATATTTAGTTATATTTCTAAAAGTCGAGTCTCAGGCGAAACTTAACCTCAAAATTACAAGATTATGGAATTATATGTATACCTTCGCGAAAGAGACTGTAAAAGCGTGCATGAAATTAACGTGAGTTCTACGTGTACGATTAAATTACATTTACGTTCTACGTAGTGATATTCCGTAGAAAAAAATGTATTCTTACCGGTACGAAGATCTTAGTTCATAGATTCTTTAGATATATGGTACGTCTAAAGGTGGGAAATGCGAGAAAAACGGAATACGTATTATTCAATTATTTAATAACGATAATTTAATCTATTTACACACGTAAGACACCCGCATACACGATGCGTTCCGAAAAGGAGCGGCACTTCCGGAAATTACCGGCGAAATTGTATTAATCAGGGCAATGCCCCCTCTCTCTTTGTATTTAATCGACTCTACAATCAAATTTATTAATCTACTCGATTGCTTATATATGTCTATACACGCATATTCAACGATAAACTAAACGTGCAATGTCAAACGTGTAGAAAAGCAATTTCACTTTCATCAATGACATATATCAAGCTCGAACTCGAACGATATAAATCTGCTCCTGTAGTTCCACATACAATTGTGTTCGAAAAATCTATTTATCGAGTAATGTTTAATTGACCAATCAGAACACAAGGAACAAAAATGTTTTTGTTCTGATTGGTCAATCAAAGTTACACTACCTGATTAGTAAATTTTCGAACGCAATCTCTATGGAACAGTAACGTCATCACGTGAAGTTGAATATGTTCGTTTCAGACACTTTAGTCGAATATCTAGATATTCGTGCATCATGATACAACTCTGAGTTTGGCGGTTGAATTTCTAACGTGTTTTCTCATATTAGATATAAAAAATTAAATATAAAAGATTAAAAGATAATTTCTTTGAAATGCTTACAGAAGGATGTCACACTTTATTTATTGTCAACGATTATCCCACAGCTATCAAATGTAAGACTCGAAATTGATGATAAATATGTTAGTTTTCTTTGAAAAAAGTTGTATCTTTACTGACAATGAATTATATAGTTTAGATATAATTTTAAAAGAATTGTTTCTTAGAATAATTTTAAAGGTTGTTTTCTTAAAAAAAGTTGTATCTTTATTGAATTATATAATTTAGAAATAACAGATAAAAAATACACTTTAGATTAAATTTAAAATAAACAGGTAGATTTATTTTAAGAAAAGAATAGAATTTTAAGAAACGATACTAATTCATAACACTTAATTTATAAACCTTATATACGTAAAATTAATGAAATTAATTCTCAACCATATTATTTATAATTACATTTGCTTAAATATCATCATCTCTTATAAATCTCTCAAATTACATTCTTACCCTTTTACCAAAGAATAGTATACTAAATTAACAAATGCACAATATCTCTAACATTCGAGTAATATTCACTGATTCTTCAGTGGTGGTGAAAAATATCTCGTAACTGTCCTTACAATCATCACAGCACTAAAAATTATTCAATTATTCCAACATTACAATACTTTTACACAGATAACGCACAGACCATAATATAAATTGTATTAGAATACCTTAACATAGCGATTACTCCAGCTGGCATTATTTTCCCACTATTGTAAAATCGATATCCCATCAAGCCTCCAAGGGCCGTGCTAGTTCCTAGAAAAACTGCTACATTGGTTGGATCTTGAGAAGTTTGATAAGCCCCATAGCCCAGAACAGATCCGAAAAGGAGACCAGCTGCCAATGATGGAATAGAACCTTTAAGAAAAAAAAAAATATTAGAATCATATTATTATTTTGAAATTCTCATGTGAGAAAGCTATTAAACATCAAAATATATATCTGTAAAGACTTGTATGGCTGATGATGAACTTGGATGTGAGAATTATAAACTCACTTGATTTCACGTAACCTAATATTCCGCCACCAGCCACCGCAGCAGCATACGCGAACGCGGGGATATCGAAGGGCATTTCTAAAAATTCACGCTTCGAATCTCTTCAATTGTATCGTGTGCTATCACTGTCGAGTGACAAGCGAAATA